TTACTCTAGAGGGCTTACTTTTTCCTCCCTCTTCATCCTCATCCCCCTGCTTCTCATCTTCTCCACCTCTTCCCCTCCTTCATCTCATCCTTCTCCTCTTTTTCCCCCTCCCCCCTTCTCCTACTCTTCCTCCCCCTCTTCTCCCTTCCCCCCTTCCCCTCCTGCTTCTGCTTCCCTTTGTTCTGGTCCTCAGATGGAATCTTTATCTTATAGCTCTTCTGGTTGTGATCCACTGTTATTATTACTGGATACTTATTAGTGTGTTAATAGAGTGAGTGGGTAGTGTGGAGAGGAAAGGGATGTTCCTTTATCTCCTAAACCTCTAAGTAGGTCTCAGTCCTTTGTGGGTTTGTACTTTAGGGGTGGGATTAAACCTTCAGAAGACTTAGTCTCCTCTCTCCCACTATTTCCAATCTGTTTTCTTGAAGTCCTTCTTCCAATTGACTATCACTTCTTTTGTTTACTTATTTACTTACTCATTTATTCATACATGGGACAAGAAGTTTGGAGAGGACTGGTGTGGGGTGGAGTTCCTTTCCTTCACCTTGGAAAAGTTTCAGAATAGCCCTCTGGAGGAGTCCTTCCCTTGGAGGTAGGCCTATTAGGGAGAATGATCCGGACGGTTTCACAATAGCTACTCTTCCTCTCCCTCTACCAGGTTCATGAGACGATCTTTCTCTGTCCTCACCCTGAAAACTTAATGTAGTTCCTAGAGGAAAAGGCTATGAAAACATAGCCCCCTTATACTGTCCAGCCTTCCAGCTTCTTACTCAGCCTACAACAATTTGTCAAAATTACTTTTTAACTCTCCCTAACAGTTTTTGTCAGTTTTTAGTGTCTGCTCCAAGTCTTTGTTGCTGTATTTCTTTGGATGCACCTGTTTGTCCATATTTCAATGAAGTTGTTTGCCTTGTCCTTTGATGGGTCATGAAAAGTCATTGACTTTCAAGCTGTCCAGCTTTTTCTTGTAAGGATGATGATGGCAGCTTTCAAGGTCTTACATGTAATAACAAAAACCACCTTTCCCTTCCCAAATGTGTGTGTGTGTGTGTGTGTGTGTGTGTGTGTGTGTGTGTGTGTGTGATATGTCTGTATCACCATGGAGCCAAGGGCATTAACATCAGGGTCTCAGGACAGCTGGGCAGGGGGGTGGGTACAGGAAACAGGATGTGTTGTTCACTTTTTAAATGTATCTTTTCATTGTTAAGTTTCATTTTTATAGTTTTTAAGAGGGTTTTAATAAAGAAGACTTGGGAGAATAAACAAGTGAGAAAAGCATTGTTTTTAACAGCAAAAATCAAAATAACTTGAATGTCTATCAACAGAATATCTAAATTAATTGCTACCGATAGGAGACTGCTGTGGAATTGTTCAAGAGAATGGAGAACCTGCCTGCTCCTGGTACCTGCTAAGGTGATGTTTGTGATGCACTGTGCAATAATAAAGATTAAAATTATTTTATGTGAGTTTATGTGAATTTATGTCATGTGAGTTTATGTCATGGGCAAAAAAAGGCTCTGAGGACATACCCAGTGTTCCTTGATTCTTAGCTCTGGGAAGTGGAGGCTCAGCACTTTGCACTGTTTGGATTGGTTGTAGTAAATGGGAATAAATTTTATAATCAAAACAACAGGATAAAAGAAGGAAGGAAACTCACTTTTTATTATTTTCTCTTCTGTGTCTTTTGAGTTCTATATCCTGTTTATTTATCCCCATTCCATAAAAAGAAAAATAAAATAAGAAACCAGGAAAGGTAAGAAGTATCCCCTCATTTAGTTCACAGGCTCTTCCTTAGCATGTGCTAGTCTTTACCTGTTTTCATCACCCCCCCCACCTGTTCTCTGCCCTGCCCCCGGTGTACTTCAGGTTACCCTGCTGTAGATTGAGGCCGACACCACCTGTTGGGCAGGCTGGGAGGCTGTCTGGCCCCCTCCTAGCACCTTCCAGTTCCTCATGCAGCCTTGGAAGGCTAGACATTCGAAAGGCATAGTGCAAAGGTCCCAGGGTGAACCCCAGCCCTCTACTTGCCACAGTATGACCTTAGGTAAGTCACTTAAACTCTGTGGGATATTTATGGGCTGGAACAACTAGATCAACTTCTCTGGATTTTACTTTATATGGGAGAAACAACCTCTATAACCTCTATAGCCATGTATGAATGACAGAGTAAAAAATTACCAGAATTCTGAAAATGTCTCTTAGGCCTCTGCTACTCCCATGAATGGGCTAGGCACTCAACCCAAGAAGGACCTTGCAATTCCAGTCTATCCTCTCCATGGATCACCTGAAAAGCATCCTTGAGGCCTGCAGAGCCCTGTCAGATGGGCACTGCCTGGGCCCTTATTGCAGGGGAAGGCAGCCTAAGGGGTGGGATGTGGAGAGAGATGGTCTTTGGCTTCCTCAGACTCACGGGACACAAAAGAAAGGAAAGGCCCTCCTCCACCCTCTCAGCAGGGTACTTAACAGGCCACTGCTGGGATTTTCTGCAACATTGCTGAGAATGAGAATTTCTAGGGTGTCAGGATTGCTTAAGATGCTTCGCAGAGTGAGACCCACTGGGTTTGGTGGTTTCTCTCAGGTAAGTAGGGCCTGTTCCTTGTCTCTCCTGCCCTGTTGCTGTGTCACTGCAGACTACCCTCACCATAACTTCTAGGTCCTGGGTCTACTTTGTTCTGCCATCCTGACCCTCGGCCCTTCCTGACTGTGCTTGAGCCTCCTCAGTTCCTGCCTTTTCCAGTGCTCTTGGAGCTGGCTGGATTTGCCTCCATCACCACCAGTCACCATGTCATATCAAGGAAATGCTCAATCAGCTTCTGCTAAGGTAAAACCTTAACTCTACTACTCTCCAGATACAAGACTCAAATTTAATTTAAAGATCAGAAAACAATGAGCAACCTTTTGATATTTCATTCTTTGAACAAGGAAATATGTACTGAGCACTTGCTCTGCTCAGGTGCAGTACAAAGTGATAAGGGCCATAATTGAATGAGGCACTCAGCCTGCTTATAGGGGGACATGTGGCTGGCACCCAGAGGGTTCTCAGACATCTGTGCCCCGAAAGAAGGGAGGGGTTAAGGCTTTGAAAGAGGCATTCACTACAGTAGCTCAGCAAGAGAAGTTCTAGAACCTCATGAACAGCTTGACCTTAGGAGCCAAAGTGTGGGATTCAAACCCCATCAACCCCATGCACTAGCTGTGTGCATCCATGGGCAAGTGACATCAGCACTCTGCGCCTTGGCCTCCATATCTGAAAAATGAAGACAATAATTACATCCAGGTTGATGCAGGAATGAGGCAAACTATTCCACATATAACCTGTTCCCAGCACAGTTCAATAACACTAAGCATTTGTGAAGGTCCTGGGAGGAAGCATCACATGTGATTTCCCAGGAAGACTGGCCCTGTCCTTCCTCAGTGTCCAAAGTCTGGATAGGCCTGATCAGCAGCCTATAGGAGCACACAGTAGGCCTCGGTAAGCAGTTGTTAATGCTACAGAGCATTTTCTATCCTGAAATGAAGCCTCAGACAGGAGAGGCCCCAGCCTATGATCAGTTATCAGACTGCATCCCTCTGGTTGGCATTTCTTTCCCCACCCCACCTAACATAACCCTTTCTGATGACCTTTCCTTATCTGACCTTTCATATCTGTGGTAGCCCATCCTTTAAATCTCACTGCAGCATGTCAGGTGAGGTAGGATCTAATCACAGAGAACCTTGCTATGTGGTCTGTTGCTGTACCCGATGTCCTGACACCTGCCCTTCCTGAAGATGTGGGCCACTTTTTCACTCCATGATTCTGAAAATCAGGTGCTGTGCATATTGTTGTGGCTTTGGGGAAGATGAGAGAGTTACAGCTTCATTCCAGGGTAAGTTTTCCTGAAGTGGGGGGGTGGGGGGGAGGCACAAGGATCCTGACAGTGTGGAGGGGTGAGAATGGCAGAGTTGTGGAGAATCAGTCAGCTTCTTCCCTAAGAATATTTTGCTATCCTTGGCTTCATTTAGAGAGTGCAAGGTTGGGGAAATTATTGGGCTGATTTGTAATTGAGAAGTCACCAACACCCACAGGATCTGCAGGATTTGGCTAGCCCTGGCAGGGTTGCATAGTAACATATGGTGTCTGCTGATTCTAGGCCCTTACTGAGATGAAACTGGTCCTTACTCCCATGATAAGTCCTTCAGGGCCTCAGTACATTGTGGCTGCCTGTCCTGGAGTTAGAGATCAGGCTGGTGTGGGGCCGTGGATTCCTGAGCTCATCTGCAGCCCCCTATCCTGCCTGTCTCTCATTCTCTGCATCCCACCCCTAAGCCTTGAACCACACATTTATTATTCTCAACCCTTATGCAGACTTCATGGCTCCCTCTACTTCCCATTTATAGGATGTTCTGTTATCTTCCCATCAGTTTCAAACCTGAGTTCCTCTCTCTGACATGCTGTATAAGGAGAAGCCAAATGTGGCCATTTCACAGCCAACTTGGTTCTGAGTCTTCATTTCTTTGTGGGGAAATCAGTGAGGCACACTTTGAGAGCAATGGCAGCTTTTCAGCTGTCCTTGGCCTTAGGCTACCCTGGCCCAGCTGAGCTGGTGGGCTCAGGCATAGGTACCTCCACATTAAAATGTTCTGCTTCAATTGCCTGTGTCCTGCTACCTCCTACCCCCCAATAGTCCTTACATCAGGGACAAAGATGGAGATTTGAGTCTTAAGTTCTCTTGAATGTGGCCACAAAGATTCAATTCCTGGGGGGGGGGGGGCATTCTACAGGTGAGGCTCAAACATGGCTGGCCTAGGGGCCTTATTTCCAGCTGATTGCAGGGGAGGCCCTCATGGTCCAGGAAGCTTTCTGGGGCACTTGTAGAGGGGGTTCACTCATGCTGGTTGTTGGAAGTGAAGTCCAGGACCCCTGGCAATTGGCCCCAGGGTCTCAGCTGGGTAGCAGGGCCAAGAGAGGCTATAAGTCCAGCTGGCCCCTGTGCCACTTGCTCCACAGCCCTTGAGTTGAGCTACAGAGGCTGGTTCTCCACAGAGGCATGATCCTGGGCATCCATCCTAGTGGGCTCCACACTGAGCCGGCTGAGGTCAAGGATGTGGCCTGGGCACCTCTGGTCCTGTGAGCTGTGTAGTGGACTAGTCAGGGAGGGCAGGCCACATGCAACTGCCATGCTAGGGAAGCTGTTAGATTGTTTCTGTTGCAGAATTTCAGGGCCCCTGGTTTGAGGTTGCCTGCAGAGCCTGCTGCTCATGTCCTGCCTTGGGGGCTGTGTTGTAGGGGGCTGGCAGTCTGGTTGGATCTGTAGAGCTGCAACCTGGGCCACACAGCCTGTCAGGGTGGGCTCTACATCAAGGGTGCTTCCCCCAGGACCTAGCCTCCAAGGACCTCGGACATACTCCAGATTCCCAGGTGGCCTGGGCTCCTGGGAGCTGGGCCAAAGGTTTGGGACTTTGCTTTTGCTGGAAGTGTCTGTTGTTGTAGAGGTTGCAGACTCCACAGAGGAGAACAAGCAGCCTTGTGTCCCTCTTTCCCCAGAGACCTGCACACACTCCAGAGATGGGTCCCTGGACAGAGAACTAGTTTCCTGCTCAGGCCCTGTTAGGAACTTGCTCTCTCCAGCAAGCAGGCCCTTGGTAAGAGAATGTGCCCATAGCTCCTGCCTGCTGGGTGCTGAGCCCACAGTGATCCTACCTGCATCTGAAGCCCCAGGACCCCTGCCCTCCAGCTTCACTGGACCTGGGCCCTTTTTCTCAGAGCCAGCTTCCAGTGTCTCTACCTGTCCCCTGGGGGAGTTTGGAGTCTCCCCAGGGGCTGAGGCAGGTGGGGTGCGGAGCTCAGGGCCACGACGAAGCCAGTTGATAATGCCCATGGTAATGGCAAGCTCAGTGTCACAGAGCTTTAGCAGGCACTCTTTGCCCTTCCAGGAACTTTGCAAAAAGCTCTGGCTGAGCAGGTCTGGGCCTGGTGTTGGGGCCAAGTTCTCCTCTGCCCCCACATGGAAGCTGCACATGGACAGTGGTGCTCCTAGTGCTGGCCCTGACAGACTCTCAGACACGCATAGGTCATCATCCAGGCTCGGGCCAACAGGGCCCTCGCTGGGGTCATAGAAGAGCTCATAGAGGGCATCTCCACTGTAGCTATCCCGGGGGAAGGCAGCTGCAGGTGTGCCTGGGCTCAAAGCTTCCTTCTTGTCCTCCTCGAGGCCAGGTGAAAAGGAATCATAGTAGCCCTCATCACTTGTGGACACGGATTCTGGCTGTTCACTCTTGGGGGTACCTGTGTCTATGGAGCTGGCTTTGGAGCCACTGTGGGGGTCTCTGCAAGGACACAGGGGGAGCTCAGCAAGCCCAGCTGCATCCAGCTTGGGCCGGTCTGTATCTGTCCCCTGGGCACTCCCCAGCCATGGGCCCAGTAAGGTGTGATGCTGCTGCCTCACAGAGTGATTCACACTGTCCCAGAACTTGGCAAAGTCAGACATCTCATTTTGGGCAGGTGATGCCAGCTGCTCCATGCTGCCATGGAAGGGGCCCCTAAGAACTTTGCTTTCAAGGGCCTGTGATACCTGGGCTGGGCTCTCTAGGCCCTCATTCAGTTCCAGGGATGGCACAGAACTTTCATCTGCAAAGATCTCCCCACAGCCCGTGAGAGAGTCAAAGCTCTTGAGTGAGGCCACATCCTCACACAGGGCCTTACAGAGGTCAAAGGAAGAATCAGGCAGGAGCTCGCTGTCAGATAGGTCCTGACACAGGCCATCTGGCCCCAATCCTTCACCAAAGGGAAAGAAGGCTTTGTCTCTCTGCTCTCTAGCCTCTGATGGGCCACCAGGGGAGGACAGGCTCTCCCTCTTGGTCACCAGTGAGGTCAAGTTCTCAGTCTTGTTTCTGCGAATGTGGAATAGGTTCCGAAAGCACTTCTTAGGTCGTTTCAGGGAGATCCTCTTCCTTGGTATGCTTTTGGCCACAGCTGGCACAAAGGGCATCTGTGGCACAAAGTGGCGGTAGTCAATCATACGCTGGCTGCTAGAGGATCCTGGGAAACTTGCGCTGCCCACCAAGTGCCCTGTGGCTGTGCTCACCCTGCCAGCCCCAGGCACACTGTCATGAGTCTTACTCTTTCGTACCAGTTTGAAGGCAGCCCCACAGAAGGCTGTAGCCCCCACCTCGGGTTCTGGTTGTACTCCCTTGTTGAGGCATCTGTCATATCCTTGGGCCTTGGGACTAACCTGTGCGGCCCTCTCATTGTAGGGCTGCTGTTGCCGTCCTGGTGAGACAGACCAGGGACCCATATCCTCTCTGACTGGAGCAGTGGCTGCTGGGTCTGGGGGCTTCTCATGGGAAATCTGCAGGCTGGATTTGATAAAGGTCTTTCCTCTCTTCAGTTCCATGTTGCCAATACCCCAGGATGCTGTGAAGGAAAGCAGGAGGTACTTAGTATCCAAGATGAGGGTGTATGGTTCTAGAAGACCTCTACCTATCCCTGCTTACATAGTGGCTTTGGAGCTGAACTCTGACATCTAAACTTGGATCCTTTTCAGAGGCAAGGGAGAGAGAGATGGGAATGGATACACCCATGCTCACTGCTCTAGGGCTGCTCATTGCTCCATAGACATCTGATCCCAGAGAAGTTAAGTTACATGCCTAAAGTCACACAGTAGGAGCCTAAATGAGGGCAGACTGGGGTCTGATTCTATTGTGTCTGTGATCTGTCAACTCAACCAAGCATCATCTCAGAGTTTACTTGGCCAAGTCAGTTTCACATTTCTATGCCCAGGCTTTCTACAAATAGCACCACATCCTTACAGTGGAAGTACCATCGCCATTTCAAGTAGTGGAGCAAAGGATTCAACAAATAAGTTCCTGACTTCATCTAAGATACAAAACTCAAAGGGAAACCCAAGTCTGTCTCTTGGGCTGGACGGAGTTGCTCATCAGCTGGAAGGGAAGACACATACACTGCCCTCCAGGGCTATTGCATCTATCTGAGGAGGGAAGACTTAGTATACACAGAGACCGACCATCAGGCAAGGCACAGCTGAGTATCTAATGGTGCATGTTGAGCTTGAGCACTGAGAAGAGAGATAGCATCATGGTAGAAAGCAAAAGAGAGGAGGCAGGCATGAGACCAAGATCAGGCAGATTGGATAGACACAGCACATGATGGGCAGGAAAGCAGCCAGGTATCACCTTCTGTACACATCTTAACTGAGAGGTATTGATGCCTAGAGTGCCATCCAGAGTGCCATCCAGATGAATGCCCAGTCTGAGTTCAATGGGAAAGGGTGTTGTGATTGACAGTTGATGTCTGTCCTGGGTATGGGAGGAGGAAGCCACATAAGAGTGTTAACTTGACCATTTTTGTATAGCTGGGGAGTGTGGCCTTACTCTGAGACCAATGAAGAGCTATAAAAGTCTTCTGAGTGAGTGGGCGGGTGGAAAAAGTGGCATAATAAATTTGGTGATCTATGACCATTTATCTGACATCTAAGTGGAGGACAAAATAAATTAGGAGAGAAGCTTTGAGCAGAGAAGATTCACAAAAGGAAACTAAAGTGGGCTGAGTATGTGAAGATAAGATCCAGATGGAAGTTGCAGTCAAAGTCATAAAAAAGAGAGGTAAAGTTATAAGGACCTTTGAAAGGCAGAAATGCTGTGATTCAGGAACTGAATAAAGAGAGAGAATCATCAACATTGAGGAAACAGTAAATACTGATCCAGACAAAGAAAAATGGGGAAAGGTAAGGAAGTGGGAGAGGAGTGAAGGTGGGGAAGAGGCCTGTGCTAAGAGTTGGTTTGAGAAAGAGAAGCAAGGCTCTAGGTTTCAACATCTTGCCTTTGATGTGAGCTTGGAGATCCCCAAGACCAGACCAAAAGAAGGTGATGCCCAAGAGCACCTACAAACTTTCCCAGACTCTCCCTTGCTTTGACTTCACAGACACCCAACTCACAGCTCAGTCTGTCCCAGCAGCAACTCCTCTCCTTGGTGGTGAGTGACCTGTTGGTCAGTCCTGTCAGTCTGGTCAGGGGAAGATTAGAGGAGAGAGTTTGGGGATAGTTTCTTTGACTTTCTTTTTTTTTTCTTCTTAATTTTTAAAAAATATTTATTTATTTTCTGAGAGAGAGAGAGAGAAGTAGAGGGGCAGAGAGAGAGGGAGACACAGAATCTGAGCAGGCTACAGGCTCTGAGTTGTCACCACAGAGCCTGATGTGGGTCTCGAACCCACCAACCATAAGATCATGACCTGAGCTGAAGTCATCAGCTTAACCAACGGAGTCCCCTAGTTCCCCCTCTTTGACTTTTCATAAGGACTGCTCCATAGTGAGCATCTGAATTCACTCCTCCCCAGTGCACAGGCTGTGAGGGAGGCACATAGCAGGTGTGACGGCAAGTGGTTCTGTCAGCCTGCATGCCTTTCAGAACCACTGCCCAGGAAACTTTGCTGCTACCTTAAGAAAGCTGCTTGACAGTTATAAGCTGACCAGGGTCAGCTCCAGAGTCTCTCAAATGCTTAGACATGAAGATCTGGAGGTGAATAGAGGGGCTGCCTCACAGCCCAGGTGACAACATTAAAGCTGAAGATGAGAAGTGGTGACAAAACTGCCATTGCAAGGGCTCACAGGGACAAAGCTGATCAGCCTCCACCCTACTCCCAGTCATGGGCAGCACTTCCTTCCCTGCAGAGGGACACCTGGGACTTTTGGCTGAAGGAAGAGAAAGTACTATGTCAGGGAAAACCACAGAACCTAGACTGGGCTCTGGCAGCAGCTCAGCTCTTGGTGGCTGCATCCTGGACAGTGAAAAAGTGCTCAAAGCTACCTTTTTGCCTCCTGTGAGATGGCATGTGCCCAAGCCTTTCCTACCCTATAGCTGCAGATCCCATTTTTACCCACCACAGTCTTCTGTGGCTGAGATAAGTCCTTCCCCAGTTCTGATGAGTTTTGCTCTACACAGCATAGTGGTTAATATCTGGACTCTGGAGTTAGAGAACCCAGATTTGAATCATGGTTGCATCTACCTAACCAGGGGAGTTCTTTGCCTATGACTATATAAGAGACATCCTATTGTAACTTCCATTTTACAAAGGAGAAAATAAGGTCCAAAAAAGTCAATCAATTGGCCCAGGTCACACATGTGGTAAATGACAGAATTAAGATTTGAAATCAAGCCTGTCTGATTCTGATCATGTGCTCTTAACCACAATAGACATTCTGTGAACCAATAGCCCAAACTCTTCTTCAGGGGCAACTTAAAAATCAAATAATAAATGTACTTTTATGAGCCATTTTAGAAAGCACAATAAAAATGGAGATTAAAAACAAAAGTGCAGCTCACACAAATTCAGAAAAATTATAATTGAAGGTAATATAATTTCTATGAAATCTTGGAGATATTTATTATGAGATCTCTATTCTATGTTTTATTTTTTTAATTTGCTTTTTTTAAACATTTATTTATTTTGCAGAGACAGGGTGCAAGCAAGGGAGGGGCAGAGAGGGAAGGAGACACAGAATCGAAGCAGGTTCCAAGTTCTGAGCTGTCAGCACAGAGCCCAACGCGGGCCTCAAACCCACAAACTGCGAAATCATGACCTGAGCTGAAGTCGGACACTCAGCTGACTGAGCCACCCAGGTGCCCTTCTATTCTATGCTTTAGAAAAATATTTTTATTAACACACTTTTGGAAATAACTTCAAGCAGGCAAGACAAAGATTACTTCACTCTGTGTAGAATTTGCAACTACAAGAACTAACATGATTTATTTGATATTGATCTCTATAAATAAAACTACTGATTTCTTATTTCTCAATTCAGTGGACTTATTTAAACTCGTGAAGAACTAGAAATTTCACCAAATTCTGAACTTGGAAAATGGCCTCTCAGAAGAGCAATCACTGCTACAGATGGCTAGACTCAATGTCACTAATGTTGCCAACCCTGTTTCTTGAGTTCATTTAATACTTTGGCACATTGATAGGACAATAAGCAGTAAAGTTCAGAATAATGAATGAGAGACTTGCAAAAACACTGGAGCAATCATGTGAAATCCAGTATATGTTCAATCCAGTCAGATTCCACATTAAAATATTTTATCAGAGCCTGACTCTCTGGAAAGATGAGGCCCATATGTGACATGGGTGGGAAAACCCTGGGAGGTCAGAGGTCTCAGTGTCCAACTGGAGACAAGCTGAGCAGTCTCCTTTCATGATATTTCTCAGGGACAGAGTGGAATTTATGTGGACAGCCAGATGTTGGCACTGTCATCACTTAAGGACAGAAGCCAAGTATGTCCAGGTTCCCAGCCGCAAAAATGCACACTCTGCTCTGTAACTTTCTGGCTAAAGATCCCCTGAGTGGATCCCAACATGAAACCTGAGAAAGAATCCTCTACCATGTGCCACATCCCTCCCCAAAGGATAAAGTAGGCCTGTCCCTTTCCTGGTTTGGTGCCTTCTTGTCTATAACACTCAATGATCACTGGCTGCTCACTCTGGTGCTTGCTTGGTTTTCTTACTCCCCAGCGAGGTTGAAAACTTCTCTAAGATTCAGGGCTCCAATGGTGGTCAACTGTGAGCTACTACTTATTTAAATGAAGTATTTATGTTTCTGAGACATCTTAGCTATATACTTACATCTAAGTTTCCTACATAGAATGTTGAGTCTGGAGTTTTTAAATCCATAATTTATGCACATTATTATTTAAGACAATTCTCAGTGACACCAAGACCCTAGACTGAGTCTTTCATCTCCAAAATGAACTTGCAAATTCCATGAGAACAAGAACCATACCATGTACTTTATTTAATCAACTCTGATTCACGGATGTGCTATTTTAACCAAGATCTAAAAGACAGCTGAAGACAATCAGGCAAAAGATGTGGGAAGCATATTCCAGGCAGAGGGAACATTCTGAAGAAAGGCCTTGAGGGGCAAAGGAGGAAGAATATTTAAAGCTCTGAAAGCAGGCCTAGGTGGCCAGCGCAGCAAGCCAGTGGGATGAAGGTGGGAAATGGGCAGGGCAGACTGTGCTCTGCCCAAGGTTAAAGGAGGGTCTTGGCTTTTATCCTATGCACCATGGAGAGCATATGCACCATGCTTTTATCCTATGCACCATGAGATCCAGCCATCATGGGTGAGTAACATGGCTAATTTTCAGTTTTAACAGATCAGTGTAATCTGAGAATGGAAAGGAAGGGCAAGAGTGGAGGCAAGAAGACAGATTAGGAGCCAGAGCAGCGTCTAGCTGAGAGAAAGTATTGACAGAGACTGCCCATATATGTAAACCTTTCCTCTCAGCACCTTACACAAAGTATGCACTTGCATATGGATTTATTACAAACTGAGCAAATGTAGTAATTCTCCCGGCTGATTTTCTATATGATGAATAACT